CAGTGTTATGTGGGTTTGAAGTGAAATCCAATTTGTTAACAAGTTGTGTGTGTTTTGTGGGTTTGAAGTGATCATTTAAAATTTGCTAACAACTAAGTACATTTGCCATGTTATTGATTGCAGTGTTATTGCAGTGAAACTGACAATTAGTGGTGCGGGGCTAGCTAAGCGTAAATATTAAAACAAAAGGCGTATAACAGATATCGCGTCCATCACAGAGATGAAACTTGTTATTCTTGTAGTTGTAGAGGATTTTTAGAATGTTACTGCGTCAGATCAGAGAGGCTTAGTGCTATCGATTGTAGTCTTGCTAAAAAGAAATCAATAATGATCTATTCGTGCTTATATGAAATAACAGAACAAATGTTGAACAGGTCTTTTTTTTAGAGTCAATATTACATAAACTAAGCGAGAACATCGTAATTTTGGGAGTAATGAAGTTAGAATTATATGTCTAGACATCGAACCAAGAGTTACAAGCAGTCTGTACACTAACTTTATTTTAAATAATCAAGACAGCCAATACAGTAAGGAGGATTTTTAAACAATTGTTTATTATGCTAATATTTAGAAAAAGATTTAGTGGGCTGATTTCAATATTGCCCAAAGGAATTTCCATTTCTCCAGACATTTGAAAGCAATAGGAATGTCGATTATAGATAATTCTATTACATAAAACCAAAAGGAGAGCATAGACATTGATGGATTATTTTATATGCTCCAAATAGACATACATTTTACTCTAAGGGGATATTACAAGGGAGAACATCTTTATGTAGAGGCAGCGCACAACTTTAAATAACCATGACAAACTGTAGTAGACAGTATTTTAGAGAATTGAATGCTAAAATCGAAGACTCAAATTAAGAGAGAGAGAGTTAGAGAGTTGGAGGCGTTGGTTTTGCCCTAAAAAGCAAGAGTCTACATCAGAGAATCGTTAGATGTTAAAACATTTTTACAAGTAACATTTACAGCGCTTGTGTTAGTTTTAGATTTTAAGTACATTTTAGTGGTTTTGTAGAGAATTGTAAGCCTTTTTTAAAGAGTGTCGCTAACGTTGGCTTTGTATGCTCAGAGAAATTTGCAGTGGCTTAGATGATTTTGTTGACATTGAGTAAATTAGAGATTTGTATGCTGAAATCGAGTAAAATCTGATATAGGGAGCTACAATTAGTCAAATCTGATTTGGATGCAGTGACTATAATGACCAGTCTAGTGAGTGATTTTGATTAACTGGAAATTACCAGAGAGCTTCATTGTGATGTGTAGACGAGTGAAGAATTTAGTTTGCTTTGATCTTATTCTTTATTTTTTTTGTGTAGAGTCCTCAAAGACAATCAGGTAATATAGTATTTTGGTTAAAATTAGACAATTCTATAATTTTACTTCCGCTGTGTTTAGACATTGGGTACGTAAGAATAGCAGATTGAACACAATGTTCTTTGTTGTAGGCACGCACGCGCGTTCGTTACTGTGGTCACGTGGCGTGGACTCGGAGCTTGTGGTCACTATCTTCTTGATTGACCACTATGTTCGTGGGAGCAACTAGGCTTTTTGGTAACTTGTTTGTCGACTTTTTAGGCCAATTTACTGTCAAATTTGCGCATGTGAGCATGGAAAGCGCTCGCGGCGCAGCCATGTCTACACCCCAAACCGTTTGCTGTGTTCATTGCTCATAGCTTGATAATTTGTGTGCATAATTAATTACGGTGGTTGTGTTTAAAATTCTGTAACTTTAATAAAGAACATGTGATGTGAATGATTCTTGCACTAAAAGAAAGGTTAATAACTTCCATATCCTAGATTTAACACACCAGGGATGCTTTCAGTGGTATTTTAATGCTAGAATAATTATCATTAGGAAATTAGAGGAAAACCAATAAAAAATCAGCCTATTAGCATAGTTTTTTTGCTCTGTTGTGAAGTTTTTTCCTGCTTGACGTCTGCACGCGCCGTCCCAAACTATAACATTGGCGGCCGATTCCCCGGTTTATTCCTCATCAAGCACCGCCCGTTTACCTATCAGGTTTCAAGTGGTCCAGCTATTACCTTCATTTATCTTTCTGGGATATTTCTCCGCGACTTTTCTCCCAGACTAGTCTCCCATCGTCGGGTGTTAATCAGACTTAATGTATTTGGTCTGCATTTACCGTTAAGTGACATACTGCCCTCATCGTTGAGTATTTACCACTTTTTATCTCTAGTTATAGATGCGGACAGCCCGCGGCGTAAACTAGGGTTAAACTTCGAAGCAGGTGGGGGAGGGGGAGCAGGAATTTTTCAAGTGAAGGCACTGATCTATTGCTTTTGCCGAAGTCAAATTTCTAATATTGGGGACTGTATCCCCCTCTAACCCAGTAGCGTATCCAGCTTTTGATGTCGGGGGGGGGGGGGGGGAGGGGGAGGGGGAGGGGAGGCGGTTAACCGCACATCCACGCCGAAATGTAGACATTTTTTTTTTTAATTCTCCGGACACCTCGCCTCCGTAAAATCAAAAAGCGCGGTGGGGGGGGGGGGGGGGGGGGCTGGGGCTGGTACCCATCTTCCAAATAGGGGAGCTCTTCAAAACCGACCATTACTATGCATACTGCAAATACTATATGCCTATTTTCACGGCGCATGGTAATGGTTTTGCAGCGGGTTTTCTTATTTAGAATTTGGGATCAGTACTCTCTAACCATTTTATTGAAATAGACGCCGTTATTTCCACACCTGGGATCTGGTGGTTAATTTCAAATTAATATGCCAAGGAAAATGCCTACATATGATTTATCTATTTAATTAATTTCAACAAAAAATAATGCATTTTTGTTTTCAAACGGGCATAGGCTAAAGAGCCGCAGAAAGAGCGCAGCTCAGATAATGAGATTGATGGAAATGTTCAATAGCGCCCTCAAGATTAGTGTTACAAATGTGATCTGGTACCCTGTTCATTTCACGGTGTGCGCGCGAAGGGAAATCTATTACTGAAAAGTTCCATGACAGTCGGGGTCCTGACGAAGGTAGTAAACACGGTCGAAAACGCCGGTAAGTTGGGGAAAGACACGTGTCCTTAAGTTAAATTGTCATCTTTTACTATTTTTTTTCTGAAAATTAAAGGGTAAATATGTTGCAACCTGACGCCACTTTGTTCCTCATTATCATCTCAATAAAATTCATTCATTGAAAAAATAACGACAAGATATGAATCTGGGACTGTATAGTCGTGTTCCCTAGCCCGACTGCGTCTGGCCGTACAGTACTATCGCAAGCTCTGTAGTACGGCCAGACGCCAAATGCTTCCAAAAAGACTGCATTTTTTTTGCCGCTGATGTAGCGATTTTGCTACAGATTTCGACCGAGATTATCTTTTCATCCAGGATTAAGGTTCTTAGTCGTAGAGAAAGCCATACCTTTTCGAAAAAACGTTCTTTGGTCTCAATATTTTCATCCATGTGGCAAAAAGACGACTTTCAGTCATCATCTTCCACAAATATCGTCCCGAAAATGCTCCCCCATGGGATTTCAAAATGGCGGCCGCGCTGTAATGTATGCATTATGCGAGCGCGCTTGGGCAAGATAATGAATATGCATCATAGTTTATGACGTTTGTCGGACACCCGGCGCGGCTGGCCATACAAACACGAGGTCATGATCTAAATAATGCATATTGCGCAGTGGTGGTTCTGCGGGGGGGGGGGGGGGGCTAAGTGTCCGGAGAAAATAACCGGTCTACATTTCAGCACGCTTCCCTGAAAAAAAAATTCTGGACCAACCCTGCTAACCGCCCCCCCCCCCCCCGCAACAACAACAAAAATATTGGCTCTAGAACCGCGCCTGACCTTGTGAAGTGGGCGCATAACTCACCGTTGGAAGAAAACTTATATAAGAGCAAATCTGCTTTATAATAAAGGAACAATGGTAGGCTAGGAACAACAAATTCCTGGAAAGGGACCTACTAGGTCTACCGGTTAAATAGAAGAAAAAAAATCTTGTTCAAAGTGAGAGTGATATTTATTTTGTCTGAAATGGCATCGTTTGGATTGGAAGAAAATATTTGACGGTGCTTTTAAAAAGTGTGCCCTCGATGACATTTCTAATTATCCGCCTTTTGCAGCGTGCGTGCGTCATTACAAAATTTAGCAACATATACCCCTACATTTTGCTCTGTTTTCTTGCTTAATTTTAAATTGGCAGATTTTGTTGTCCAGTGTCGCATTTTTCAATAGGTAGTTGACCGCAAAAAATAGTCAATTTTGGATAATACACTATTGAAGACTTAAGGGTGATGGACCATTTGCTACTGTTCAAAAATGAAACTCCAAGTAAATTATGGCATTATACTAAATTTGATGCGAACTTTACTTGGAATATTGTGCCAATGCTCTCATTTTCAAGGAAGAAGGGATTTACCACCTTGGCGATGGTACTCATCAGAACCAAACCATATAGCGCAGTGCCGACAATTTTGCTTTAGCCTACGTCCAGACAACTAACTTGTGATGCACTTGCATTTTTTTTTAATGGTGTATGTACCGAGTTGATATTTCGAGAGGTAGGCCTCAGATTTTTACAGATTTATTGTACAGTGCCTTTGAATATGGCCATTTTACAACATCACGAAATATCCACTGTTGCCTATTGTTCTTCAGGGTCATTGCGTTTAAATGATGATATTGTTTCAACGGATTGAGCAATTTCAGTAATTTTGTCCTTTAAAAGTTGCTTATGAAATTGGCTTTCCAGTCACTATTATGTTTGATGCTACATGTTATTTTTAGTATGAAGTATGAAATACAATTATTTTGGGGGGTTTGGGTTCCGCTTTTTTGACTCACCTTGTATGTTGCAGGCCGGTTTATTTTATTCCAATATTCATTTAAAAATCTAATCGATATAGTTGGCCCCTTGAAATCGTCCATTGTTATGTAACATGATCTGACCTTGAAAACAAATCTCATTGACATGCAAATATCTGAAGAAAAAAAGGTGGCGCGCTTGTGTGACGTCATTGCCCAAGGCTAACTTTGGGGTGTTGGCTGGGTCGGAAGCATACATTCTGCAAACTGTAGACGTCTCGACTGGACGAATTACCTTTGCAGGTTAGTGAATGGGTTTTAGCTGGTATACTTGTATCGTTCTGCTCGTCGCGCCCATAATATCGATGCCAAATGGCCTTACTTGCCAAAATGCCGTATAACTACATTTTGTTGCACACGAAACAGTCATTCTAGGCCCAAGAGTTCCGAACCATGTACTGTAAAGGTCTATTGCCCAACAACGGTATCTGCATAAAAATCAAACTTAGTTTTTTTCACCATACACACATAGTAATGTGAAACTCCTTACTGCCATTGTTCTCGTTTTCACCTTTTCGCTGATACTGCTGTCTTGACTCGGTGACTAATTGTAGCAAAGGCCATGGTCCAGACCAAATGTTGGTACCATCTGAGGTGGCAAAACTGTAATAGTGTTAATTTCTTTGTTTCACACCACTTTCTTCTTTTTGATGCGATTACTCATTTAACGTAAACCCTATGGGTATATCAGCAGGGGGCGGGGCCACAACCTCCCAAAATGATACTTATTATAATAACTCCTGAATGCTTCGGCTGATCGGCATGAAATTCGGTGATCTCTCCAAACAGGCACGTAGGAAGATGATTTTAACAGGGGGGGGGGGCAGATTATGTTTTGTGAAACAACGGCATACCCAGGAGTTTGTCTTAGGTGGGCTCAAAGAAAAAAAATACTCTCACAAATTAACTAGGCCTATATCAGATATAGGATCCAGGATTTTTTTTAGACGGGGGCACACATTTGGAGCATTTGCTCCAGAACTAATGCGAGCACGGAGCGCGAAGCCCTTTCAGGCGTGGGGGCCGGGGCCCGTTTAAGGTCCCCGGGAAATTTTGGATTGTATAGATAGGCCATCAGCTGAAACTCAAAAACCGGCTGTAAAATGAGTTTCGTTCCAGCAACACTGGGTCTACTTTTTTAGTGCACATATGTGGTGTACAGTACATCACAAACACTATGTTAGAAGTTCTCCATCAAATCTGCTGCAGTTTTTTTTTGGTTACACTTCGTCAAAGTTTGCCAATGTTATGTACATGTATGAATGCTAAAAACCCACATTATCCGGTTTGAGGCCTTGCGTTGGCACTTCCAATTTCAAAACTACAGCACTATAGCTTGTCACATCCTACACTCTAGAAACTCCTGGGTCAGACTGACACGCAATCTGAATCCAAATCTGCTCAGTCCTTTTCCGGGTCAAAAATTTACCCCATTTTGAGTCATAAACGACCCCTTTGGAGTGAAAAAAGACATGTTTCTCGGTCATAAATGACCCCTTTGTGGTAAAAAAAAGACAGGTTTCTCGGTTATTTGAAATTTAAGATGCTCTGTGGTGCAATCTGAGGCGAATCCTGGCCCCTTTCCCCTGAATTATTTGAGCAAAAGTTGTTAAGATTGTAAGGATTTTTAAAAATTAACTCTTGCTTTTACAAATTCTAAGTTATATACTGTGTACTTCAAAGTTGCAAACCACGTGGTTTCGTCTTCATATTTTCTTGCATTTCATTTTTGAAAAGGGATTGCATTGACTTAGTTTTGTAAACTGTTGCAACAATGTGTTGGGGCATTTGCTCCGAGGCTAGGTGGTGCAATCTGAGGCGATTCCAGGCCCTCTTCCTCTGAGCTATTTGAGCAAATGTTTTAAGATTATAAGGATTTTTTAATTGGTATAAAATACACTCTTGCTTTTACAAGCCTTTTAAGTTTCTTCTGTTCTTCACTTGATAACCATGTATTTCCATCTGCATAATTATTTTCATGCATTTTGTATTTCAAAAGGAATTGTATAGACTTAGTTTGTAAACTGTTGCAAGGATGATTTCTTATGTTTTGTTTCAAGTTGAAATGTTCAGTTTGTCAATAAGAACAAAACCGCTTGAAGATGTAAATTTAATTCAAGTTCAAAATTAGTGTAATTTAATCAAATTAAAGCAGAGGAGCAATTTGGCCTCCACAGTCTAGTGGTTGCGAAGGGCGATTTCTAAAGGTTACGTAACACTATGTTTTGAATGAAACTACATGTATACACACAACCATCTATTTCGGATTCAGCACATAATGCACAGTTGTAAAAGAATGGTTGTGTTATGATCTTTCCGATAAATCATCTTTCGAGAAGCATTGCTCAATTGAGCACTGTCCAGGCCGTAGTGTCCCTTTAAAAACCACAGGCAAGTACGTTTTGTTATGGCTATAATGATGCTTTTTCAACAAAATCCATTCCTTATTGTACGCGCATCTACAGACTTAAAGATATAGAGCCTAATCAATAATTAAGCCTTCGTGGATTAAGCGCCATCTGATCGCACGAGTGTGAAGATGCAGTAGGATGTCACATACAGGTGCATGTGTATACTTGCATTCGCTCTGGCTAAAGTCAAAACCTTCCGTTTCTACGATCACCGCGCACAGATATTTTACTTGGATGATTCTGGTGGCAGTGTAGAAGAGTGCCATTGGTATTGTATTGAATAACAATAGGAATATTGGTGCACGGAGATAATGAATTGCGTATCATCATGGAACGACGACCAGTCTCCGTACATACACATGGATTATTAGCTATCTTGGACCTTCGATTTATCAAAAACTGTGCCTCACACCATGGCCTACGATGGCCCCTTTCAAGAAATATCGATCTGTTCCGGCTAACCCCCACGGAGTGATCAATAATTACCTCCGGCCACTTAAAGTCCTATTGTCCGACAGATTACCAGAGTTGCTGACTCGAGTCATGTGACTTGGACTCGAGTCGGACTCGAGTCGCTATTTTTGTGACTTGTGACTTGACTTGTAAATACCAGCTTTGACTTGTGACTTGACTTGGACTTGCAAACAATGACTTGTGACTTGACTTGGGATTGCAAAAAATGACTTGTAACCAACCCAAGTCAGACGCTACTCGAGCGACCCAATACACTTTAATTAAGCTATTATACTTTTAATTAGCTTTTTCATTCCAGAAAATAGACCTCAGTGACTGAATCCAGTAAAATGAATAGTTCCCACTAGTTTAAAAAGTGTTCAATAAGACTGTCACAACAAACTACAGTTTTCAATGACCAATTGTCTCTTGCTTAATGTATTGGTTGAACAAACTTTGAAAGGAACCTTTCATGAAAAGAAAGCAGGCCTTTGTCAATTGCATGTAAAATACCGGATAGCCTAACCCATTGGTAGGCGTTTGTTTAGTATACATGGAAATTGAACAATAAAGTAATCTCAGAGATTACCCACTCGCCACACGAGAGCGCACGTGCGTCAACAGACTATTGTCCACAGGATTATCTGGGATCGATGCTCACTTCCGGCCACCTACGTCAACAGTCTATTGTCCGAGAGGATTAAGTACTGCCGGCCACAGGTGGCCGTGTTCGGATTGCGTAAACCGTATGTAATACACGTGTAAATACATAACTACATGTATACTGTATTGAAATGTTATATTTCCCCATACATATATGCAATCTTTCCCATAGAATAGGTCAAACTGTACCCAAATCCTTTACCCTCACCTGTTCCTTATTCATCCCATCCATTCATTAGGGGTCAAACTGTGCCAGAATTTCCTAACCCCATTCATTCATATTTATATCTGTATCTACATATTTACATATTTATGTGACCTTTACATATTTCTATGCCAAAGGTCAAAGTGTACCAGGAAGTCTACCTCCACTACTATTGCACTGAAATTATAATTTATTTTCTTTTAAAATGATTGCTGCAGTAATTTCCTTTGAACCTGTTTTCATACCCATGCTGGAAGTGAATTAATATGAGTCGGAATCTAAGTAAAAGTTTCTGTGTCTTCTACCAGTTGTGGGGAAACATAATTATTATGTCTTACAGTGATAACCCAGCTGATGTTGCTAAGACATGAAATGTTTGAGGTCTCGGGCTTGAATCCTGATTTATCATCTCAAAAGCATCTTCATGCGGTCAGAAAACCAAATTCTGCATAATGCAGTTAAATGTTCGGTGCGAAATACGGTAGAGAAAATTGCAGGTATAATGTTATGTTAATCTCTTCTGTATGGGAAGAAGTGTGGGTCTGTTCTGAAAACAGTCGCGTTTGGTTGAGTGCGGTGCCCCCGGCGCACCCAACATTTGGCTTGGGCTCCAATTTTTTCCCAATTTTTTTTTAGAAGTTTGAATCAAAAAAAAAATGTATTGCCGCAGAAAATATATTGGGGGGGGGGGAGGGAAGACGGACATTTTGACGTTGGTGTCGCCATTTACACCCCTATTAAAGTACTCGAAAACAGGCCCCATACATCATCACCGTCAAGTTATGGGACTTAAAAATGTATTTAAAAAAGTTGACAACCTCTATAAGCCCCAAGCCCCCACCCCCTCCCCCCTTGGGCGCGCCACTGCAGAAGAGATTGTTTTCCACATGGTGTTACCTGCAATTTTCTCTACTTTTTTCAATCTACCATGCAAAGCTTTTAGTCATATATGCTACAAAATATTTTAAGAACCCAGCATCACCTTAACGCCGTTGCCTCATGGCAACTATAGCCGAGATCTTAGGGGCCCCGGCTGAGAGATGGTCATAATAACCCGGCCCTTTTTAGGGTTAAAATTGTTTTGCTTTGTTTTCTGTAGACAGACGGTTGTAGGGCCTACACTACCGTTACAACACGATGGAGCAAAGAGCAGTAAAGCGACAAAAGGTATGTACGGAAAGACGACAATGAATGTCGATTTTGCCTTACGACGGCTTATTCAATCCCATTTCTTCCGTTTACATATCCATAATTGTATCCATTGACATCCTTTCAGAAGAGGCACCCTGAGACGAGGAGGAGCCTAGCTGATTCCGCTCACGCGAAAGAGTCTACGTATCTGCTGGCACAACCGGGTATTTTCTTCACCAGGCCAAAGTACGGTTGTATGGTAGTGGTCAATTTAAATGACAAGACCGAGACCGGTAAGACAGGCGTTTTTAACGCCATACAAGCCGTTCAGCAAAAGTGCGACCTGTTGCAAGGACGAAACGGTTATGTCGTCTCTTTTGACCCAGCCTTGTGGAAAACATGGAGCCCGAATGACGACATCGAAGACCGACCACAAGGCAATTATATGTTGTCTTCATCCCGAAAGTTTGTCAACACAGGAGGCGATGTTTCCTTCTTTCTGAAGTCTGACACCGAAGACGTCGTACCAAAGCTTTTCCAAGAAGTAGAAAACAACCTCCATGCTCTGGCTTCGCTTGATGTCACCCAAACCCGGGTTTACAATGATCGTGCCATTAACGGGAAGTTTCGAGACGGCGTTGACAATCCAGTCGACAAGACTACCGTCGAACGTTTCATCCTGACACCACAGACGACCACTCCAGGATCCGGGGGTGGTAGTTACTTCTACACGCAAAAGTTTCGGATGAACTTCAGCATATTTGACAAAATGACCATCCGCCAGCAAGAGAACGTCATCGGCAGAAAGGTTACAGATGAAATCGTCATCGGGGCCGATTCAAGAAGTCACATCCGTCGAGCGCGTCTGGCTGAGGCTAGTATTCATTTGAAGATTCTTCGGGGGAGCATGCCCTACGGACGTGATGATACAGGCCAGGAAGGAATCTACTTTAATGCTTTCGCTGATCACGTTCAGCTGTTTATCGATCTGATGCAAAGCCTTGTAGGAGACGACCCCGATTTCACACAAGATAAACTCATTTCAATGGCTCAAGGCATCGAGGGAAGTTTCTGGTATACACCAAGTTTGCATCAGCTCGGCTTTACCGACGAACCGAACGTAGGCCAGGCCCCGACCCTTGACTTCCTGCCTTTGTGGGACGTGAGAAGCACCAACGACTACATGTTTTACAACTGGCGCGAATATCTCCACCGTATGAGCTTTGGTTTGTATGCTCCCGGAGATCCACCGACACATCGTGTTATCAAGCTCCTGTCCGTGATTTTCTCCGAGTGGAGTGACCAGTGGTATGAAAAACCAAACACTGCCCGCATTCCCCATCTGAGCAACTATTTGACGGCAGCAGAAAAGCCATATCTGGAGGAATCCGCGGCCATTCGCAAAGGCATGGCGATCAAGAAGACGCTGGGCACTTTGATACCGAAAAGAGCCTATGGCACAAATAACGACCTCTTCCGCATACACCCGAATGAGCTGATTGTCGGTGTCATGCCCAGATTCTCTCTTGGTGTCGGCAAGTATGTCATGCCCTACTCTCGTGAAGAAGAAGAGTTTCCTTGGTTTATGAAGGGTCTTAATGAGGGCGGTGCCATGGGTCACATTGTTCCCGACCACGGAATAGTGTTGGCCGTCGGCCTCGGCGTTTTAAAGAAACAACACCAAATGTTATACGCCAGAGCCCCCCGTGAACAAAAGGATTTCTACCAGTCGGTCATCCTGGCGCTGGAGGGAGTTCAAGAGTACATTGACAGCTTTGCGAACCTGGCTGAGCAATTGGCACAAAAGGAGGAATATACGGCTGAAGAAAAACAAAATCTCCGACGCATCAACGCAAGACTGCTGAAACTTAAGACCGGCGCCCCCAGCAATATGCTGGAGGCCGTGCAGCTTCTGTTCTTGATGCACTGTTCTATGCATCTGATTGGCAACCCGGTTGCTATTGGCCGACTAGACGTCCTGCTGAGTCCGTTCTACGACGAAACGACAACGCCTGAAGCTGAAGCGCAAGAGATCTTGGACTGCCTGTGGATAAAACTGAGTGAACGTGTCGTCATTAACCGCCACTTTACACCAGACTTGCATGATCGAGGTTCCACAGCGGTGATGTACGCTGCATCAGGTAACTTTGGTCAAGGAAGCGCCGTCAACCAGTGGGTCCAACAGATCACCGTTGGCGGGTACCAAGCAAATGATGACGTCACTCCAACGACGGCCTGTAATAAACTTACTCTGCTGTGTCTGAAGTCGTCTCGCAGGATTCCTACTAACGCCCCATGCTTGAGTCTCAGGCTACACAAGAACATGCCCGAGAATATACTGCAGGAAGCCACAAGGGCGCTTCTTAGCGGGGGTGCACATCCGATCCTCATGCATGATGATAGACTTGTACCGAGTCTGATGAATAGTGGCTCTCCTGATGTACCCGTTAGCCTTGCGGCAGCTCGTAACTACGCATGTGACGGATGCTACGAGCCAATGATTGCGGGCGAGACCGAGTTTGCGTTTGGCACGATCATTCTGCTGAACATTCTGGAGATGACTCTAAACGAGGGAACGCTTTATGCCGACTCGGGGTCGGTATATCTTCGAGGCCTCAAAGTCTCCTATCCATCGCCACACTCCAGCCAAATCAAGACGTTCGACCAGCTGAAAGAAATCTTCCTAAAACACCTGCGACTTCAAACTGCTCAGTTTTACATCACGATTCTCTCCAACTATGGAAACCTCTGGGACATCTGCCCTTCGCCACTTCTGTCCTCCCTCATCCACGGCTGCAAAGAAAGCGGTCGTGATCTTTCCAATGGGGGATCCAACTACCACGCATTGGCTATGATGTACGTCAGTGCGTCTAACACCATCGATTCACTGTATGCCATTAAGAAGCTCGTGTTCGACCCAGACGAATCCCTCACGACCTTGCCCCAACTGCTGGAAGCGCTGAAACTGGACTGGGGATTTGAAATGAGAGAACCGTTTTTCGACGAGCGTGCCGGGGAGGTGCGAGAGGATGCGAACGCAGCTACCTACAAGACGCTGAGAAAGAAGGCTCTGACTTTACCAAGATTTGGACGTGGTAATCCAGAGGTAGACGAGATAGCAAACTGGCTGATGGAAAACGTTGTGTCTATTGCCAAAGATACGATTCACCACCCTCCTTCCGTACTCGATGGCATCATCAGTGGTATCAAAGAGAAATACTCCTTACCAGGTAATCAAGCTTTGTCTACTTAGTCATTATTTAATTTTGTCCGCAACTATGCCTGTTTAGGAAAGCGCTTTGACACTGGCTTAGCACGGTTGAGATAAAATCTACATAATTCGCTTTGTTTCGATTTCACAGGCCGTCCGTTTGGTTTCGTCGTTGAACCCGGTATTGGGACGTTCGAGGGGTACGTTCCGCAAGCATTGGGTACAGGAGCCTCCGCTGACGGGCGCCGTAGTCGCCAGCCATTCGCATCGGATCTGAGTCCGTCACCTGCACCCCAGGACAAGACCGCACAACCAGCCTCGGTCAACATCTATCAGTGAGTGTCATGCTTTACTTTTGGCTTGTTTCCTAGAAATGGAAGGTCCTTACTAAAATTTTGTACTTTAGGCGCACACTGCTCTCATTTAATTGGCTAGATCGGGCCACGTTTGGAAAAAACAGCTCGTCTGGATTTGGTTCCGACCCAAAGCAAGTGTGCATTGCCATTAATACGCAGGCCGATAAACACCGTTGAGATTTTTAAAAGCATTTTTTTCTGGCTGCTACCGAGCACATGTGAACACAACCGTTTGCTTTCATTTTTTTGCTCCACAGGCCTAAACCCATTCATTTCCGAAACTACTGATATACAGTTTTTAACGCAAGACTTGATGTTTTTAGAACCTTTAATAAAGACCCTGCAACCCCACCCGTTTCTGTTTGAAATGCCGCTTCCGGTCCTAGCCTGTTGCATTTGGGACATGAAACAGTATACGCAACAATAATTGTTCGAATCAAACTCCTCGCTTTGAAACCGTCCATGTTGTTTTCAAAAGAAAGCGGATTAGTGTGTTGGAAGCTCATTTCGTCTTTGATTGTCCACTGCAGGGCCATGAGAAGTTTTGATTATGATTCCATCAACATTGGTCTGTCCAACGGGTCACCGGTCGACATGAATGTGGGCGAGGACTTCCCTGAGGCCAAGCTTCACGAGTTCATACGTCACTATGCAAATCGCACCAAACCCATCGGTTCCAATTTGATTACAGGTACAGTAACTTATTATGGTAACAAAGTTCAACTCTATAACCTTCGAAACTTCATCTTCTGTCTATTTCATTCATACAGAAGGATGTGCTTACCCTGTTTTACCTATACCCTCTGCTGCAACGGATAGCCGACATCTTTAGATTAAACGGCACATTTTTTTCCATCTTTTCCTTCCAAAAAATAGCTAGACCATATAGGCACTATCATATGCGTACTTCTAGACACTAACCCATATTTACTTCCAATGATTGGCTTCAAACAGTTCCACGAATATAAGGCTCAAAAAGTGGGAAAATATGTATAAACGACACAGCGAAGCGGGTCCTGCTGCTTGCCGTGTTAAATTTCGAACTACGGGAAATATCAGTAGTTTGAAGAACTTGAACTTAAGTTATATCTATAAGCAGCACTCCAGTTTTCTCTTCGACCACATAGTACCCGTCGGTCCGGTCAAACTAGACACGGATGCAATGAGGGCGTATATACGCGGTTACCCCGCAAAATGTGGCAATTGCAGAATGATAAAATTAACGCTTGCAAACATTTCAGCGAAGTGGGATCATTGGGCCATACTCACCCGGATTAAATACCATTATTCAACAATCATTTTCATTTTACTGTTTCACAGTCACATGCGCCAATTTGGAGACGTATCAGAAAGCAGTGGATGAACCTGAGCGGTACGACTTGGTCCGTGTACGCACTGGTGGCTGGTCGGAGCACTACGTGGCCATGTTCCCCGCACATCAAGAGCAGCACCAGCGCCGTGTTGTCTTCACACCCTTGTAGAACGGTGCGTCCAGAATGAACGCCATATAGGGTGTCCCAGAAAAAACAAACGTCCAGGCCAAATCAAGGAACCCAGAACCTATTTTCCCTGGTTCCCCATGTATAGGCAGTCTTCCTCGTGAGAAATGATCTGACGATGTCATCACAATCAGTCAGGCATTTAACCAGGCTGACATTGACATCATGTATGATTTGCTTGACCGGTGCAAGTAAATGTATTCACGTAAGAATACTCCCAATCAGGATCCGTAGGAATATACTTTCTTGCTGTTGCGTGATTTGGTGTGGAGTTTGTTTCTAATACACCCTCTTCAGGGTGGAGTCCAAAAAAGTGGAACCCAACCCAAAGAAATATAATTCATATTTTACAAAAAAATATGTGGCACCAAAAATAATGATGACTGGCAATAAGCTACTCTTAGATGAAAAAAAAATGATTTAATTGCTGAATCCGTTAAAAGTATATCACCATTTAAACGAAATGACCCTAAAATCGGTTTTGTCCCAAAAAAAATGCGATTTCAACATCGTATAAATTGTTTTCAAACATTACCTGCCATAAAACCTCAGTTTAAAAGTTGAAAATATTCACTAAAGTACTTTTGAAGGCCCGCCCTTTGAAAAAAGTGGATTTATAAATCATATTGATAGCCCAAGCAGGGTTGTTAATAAAGACATGGTGTACTTTACAGTTATTAACACAAGTATTCTGTGTATTTTCTACGTTGTTCCAAACGTCAGAACACGCACAAAAATTGAGGTTTTTTTTTTATACAAAACTGATCTTAAGGTTACTTCATTTATTACTGATAACATTTTAACGTGTGGAGCAATTGAAATAATTTTCGTACTGAAAGTAGGGTAATGAATGGACTTCTTGAGTCATATTATTTTGGTGTTACATTTTTTTAACACGAAATACATATTTCTTTGGGTTTGGATTCCGCTTTTTTGAACTCGCCCTGTAAAAGGTTTATTGGAAACAAACCCACCCTGTATATTATGAAGGCCTGCTTTCCACTTGGCCAAGTAATTGTAATGGTAGTTTAAAACTGTTCACGTAGACTCATTTATGTTTAGTAGTCTTCAGTTTCATAGCTGGATTGATACCCCATATAAAGTTCCTACGAGTACTATAATGTGCAGCGTTATGTGGGTTTGAAGTGAAATCCAATTTGCTAACAAGTTGTGTGTGTTATGTGGGTTTGAAGTGATCATTTAAAATTTGCTAACAACTAAGTACATTTGCCATGTTATTGATTGAAGTGTTATTGCAGTGAAATGACAATTAGTGGTGCGGGGCTAGCTAAGCGTAAATATTAAAACAAAAGGCGTATAACAGATATCGCGTCCATCACAGATGAGACATGAAACCTGTTATTCTTGTAGTTGTAGAGGATTTTTAGAATGTTACTGCGTCAGATCAGAGAGGCTTAGTGCTATCGATTGTAGTCTTGCTAAAAAGAAATCAATAATGATCAATTCGTGCTTTATATATGAAATAACAGAACAAATGTTGAACAGGTCTTTTTTTTTAGAGTCAATATTACATAAACTAAGCGAGAACATCGTAATTTTGGGAGTAATGAAGTTAGATTTATGTCTAGACATCGAATCAAGAGTTACAAGCAGTCTGTACACTAACTTTATTTTAAATAATCAAGACAGCCAATACAGTAAGGAGGATTTTTAAACAATTGTTTATTATGCTAATATTTAGAAAAAGATTTAGTGGGCTGATTTCAATATTGCCCAAAGGAATTTCCATTTCTCCAGACATTTGAAAGCAATAGGAATGTCGATTATAGATAATTCTATTACATAAAACCAAAAGGAGAGCATAGACATTGATGGATTATTTTATATGCTCCAAATAGACATACATTTTACTCTAAGGGGATATTACAAGGAAGAACATCTTTATGTAGAGGCAGTGCACAACTTTAGATAACCATGACAAACTGCAGTAGACAGTATTTTAGAGAATTGAATGCTAAAATCGAAGACTCAAATTAAGAGAGAGAGATGGAGATTTGGAGGCGTTAGTTTTGCCCTAAAAAGCAAGAGTCTACATCAGAGAATCATTAGATGTTAAAACATTTTTACAAGTAACATTTACAGCGCTTGTGTTAGTTTTAGATTTTAAGTAAATTTTAGTGGTTTTGTAGAGAATTGTAAGCCTTTTTTAAAGAGTGTCGCTAACGTTGGCTTTGTATGCTCAGAGAAATTTGTAGTGGCTTAGATGATTTTGTTGACATTGAGTAAATTAGAGATTGTTATGCTGAAATCGAGTAAAATCTGATATAGGGAGCTACAATTAGTCAAATCTGATTTGGATGCAGTGACTATAATGACCAGTCGAGTGAGTGATTTTGATTTACTGGAAATTACCAGAGAGCTTCATAGTGATGTGTAGACGAGTGAAGAATTTATTCTGCTTTGATTGTATTCTGTTTTATGTAGAGTCCTCAAAGACAATTAGGTAATATAGTATTTCGGTTAAAATTAGACAAGTTACTTTCGGTGTGTTTTAGACATTGGGTACGTAAGAATAGCAGATTGAACACAATGTTCTTTGTGTTGTATGCATGCACGCGCGTTCGTTACTGTGGTCACCAGGCGTGGACTCGGAGCTTGTGGTCACTTCTTGATTGACCACTATGTTCGTGGGAGCAACTAGGCTTTTTGGTCACTTGTTTGCTGACTTTTTAGGCCAATTTACTGTCAAATTTGCGCATGTGAGCATGGAAAGCGCTCGCGGCGCAGCCATGTCTACACCCCAAACCGTTTGCTGTGTTCATTGCTCATAGCTTGATAATTTGTGTGCATAATTACGGTGGTTGTGTTTAAAATTCTGTAACTTTAAAGAACATGAGTGATGTGAATGATTCTTGCACTAAAAGAAAGGTTAATAACTTCCATATCCTAGATTTAACACACCAGGGATGCTTTCAGTGGTATTTTAATGCTAGAATAATTATCATTAGGAAATTAGAGGAAAACCAATAAAATAATCAGCCTATCAGCACAGTTTTTTCCTCTGTTATGAAGTTTTTTCCTGCTTAACGTCTGCACGCGCCGTCCCAAACTATAACATTGGCGGCCGATTCCCCGGTTTATTCCTCATCAGGCACCGCCCGTTTACCTATCGGGTTTCGAGTGGTCCAGCTATTTCCTTCGTTTATCTTTCTGGGATATTTCTCCGCGACTTTTCTCCCAGACTAGTCTCCCGTCGTCGGTGTTAACCAGACGTAATGTATTTGGTCTGCATTTACAGTTAAATTGACACACTGCCCTGAGTATTTGCCACTTTTTATCTCTAGTTATAGATGCGGACAGCCCGCGGCGTAACTAGGGTAAAACTTCGAAGCGGGTGGGGGGGGGGAAACAATTTTTCAAGTGAAGGCACTGATCTATCGATTCCAATATGGGGCACTATATCCCCCCTCTAACCCAGCAGCGTATCCAGCTTTTGATGTCGGGGGGGGGGGGGGGGGGTAACCGCACATCCACGCCAAAATGTAGACATGGTTTTTTTTCTGATGTCAGAACTGTCTAACCATTTTATTGAAATAATTTTTTGTCCAAAAAAATCCGGGGGGGGGGGGGGCAAGGCTGATAATGTTAGTGTTTTCGTGTGGAGGTACGGTTTACAAGCAAATTTGTATATGCCCGGACTGAATAATTGTTCGGCGAATGTTTGTTTCAATTACACACATTATTTATTGTCCATTCTTTTTAGAAATGAGCCTTTCAGACGACAGTGAAAATGTTTATAATATTATCCAAATGGGTCAAAATTACAACCGATCCTCTATTGTGATTGTGACAGTGAAGGTGTACGCGGTCTGTCCCCATAAAAAGAAGGGTGGCACCAGTTAAAACTAAATTGACTGAAAAGTCCAACTTGTACCGAAGCGCCGGGTATCCAGACGCCGTTATTTCCACACTTGGGATCTGGTGGTTAATTTCAAATACATATGCCTAGGAAACTGCCTACATCTGATTTATCTATGTGATTAATTTCAACAAAAAGTAAGGAATTTTTGTTTTCAAACGAAGAGCGCGCAGCTCAGATATTGAGATTGATGGAAATGTTCAATAGCGCCCTCAAGATAAGTGTTACAAATGTGATCTGGTACCCTGTTCATTTCATGGTGTGCGAAGGGAAATCTTCTACTGAAAAGTTCCATGACAGTCGGGGTCCTGACGAAGGTAGTAAACACGGTCGAAAACGCCGGTAAGTTGGGGAAAGACACGTGTCCTTAAGTTAAATTGTCATCTTTTACTATTTTTTTCTGAAAATTAAAGGGTAAATATGTTGCAACCTGACGCCACTTTGTTCCTCATTATCATCTCAATAAAATTCATTCATTGAAAAAATAACGATAAGACATGAATCTGGAACTGTGAGAAACATTTCCAATGTTGTTACTGCGACCATTGACCATGGAGGAATTCCTCCATGCTGTCACTAAATAGTACTGTTAGTGTATAGTGTTACTGTTACAAAATCCTTAGAAAATTTTCTTGACTCCTACTAGTACTAGTACTACTACTTACTAGGGGGCCTACTCCACCTGGAGGATGGCTGTACCATCACGGAAGTGGCTTCAGGTTGCAACATTCTTTCCCTTCTTTCGTTTAAATTATACAAGGGAAAGAATTCCATACACATGATACAAGTACAAGGCCACCACTCGGACCTCCTGCACAAAGTCTATGGCCTATGGGCCATGACGGAAAAAATTAAGTGTTTCAAAGAATTTTTGCACTCCTGAAAATGTGTTTCTTCATCACCTGTTCATCAGATTTACAAACTTTGGTACTTTACAGGTAAAAAAAAAAGGAATATGAGTGGTGGCCCTGTATGGAATTCTTTCCTTCTCTTAATGACACCTTTTTTGTAATTTTTAAACAGTTTCTTGGGGTAGAAATTACGATTTTCCTGTGCGGTTTACAGTTGGTGCCGTGCGATTCAGCGCGCCTTGCACGTGCACGTTCACGGTACATCGCACGGTGATTGCCATCTTTATTTTCGTGTTGCGTTTTGTCGTTGCCGTTGTCAATTAACCCCTTAATGTCCCTCAAAAAATTGAAAACCCTGCCTATGCTTTTATCTTTGACATAGCCCTACCTGTATGTTCTTAGTGTCACCAACTAGTTTGCTAGGTCAAATAATTTAAAAGTGGATTTTGTTCCCCCATGGTCTGACGGGTTTGGAGCAGTTTCCACAGTGCCTTGGAGGATGGACATTCAGAGCTTTGCAGTCAGCCTCATCATAAGCTGTTTAATCATACTCCAAGAAACCACAGCAAAGCGAGACCTACAACTGTACTGTGGAGGTAAGAGAAATAAGCTCTTTTGTGGTAATATGTGCCATCTTGTTCATTGGGCAATATTCCACATTTTTAACCCCCCTTTTCTTTGTCCTGTGTTGTTATTTTTGCAGCATGCCAGGCTTTGGTAGATGAGATCCAGTATGCCATTGGGGAAGTAGACCCTCTTGAAACCCTAGAAATGGGCTTCAGGATAGACCCCCAGGGGCGTCAGAAAGTTAAGAAGGTAGGTAAGGCTCAAAGGTGATTGTGGTGCTGCTTTAAGATAAAAACCCATTGAAGTAAACACAAAATCTGATAACATATTTCATTTTGAAATAGTTGAAGTAAAAACTTGTCATATTTGACGTCTCTTTTGACTCTTTTACACTGCATTGCTTGCAGGTTTCAGTCCATATATTTATGGACTCCGGCTTTAACTTGGAAACAGTGGCTTAGTGCAATGGACTAGAGATTTTAAAAAGCAAATGGGGATGCTGATAGAAGCAAAACTGGATGACGAAAATGGATTTTAATTGCAAAATCGGGGTCGTGACATGCATATCCTTTTTACCGGCAAATCGTCCTGTTGTCGGCAAAATCGTGTGCCCATCGGCATTTCTGCTGGGATGAATACCGCCACCTATGTCCAATAGCGTCCATGATGTCTTCAGCGTTGAACCACACTCCATATAGAAAGAAATTGCCCTAGCCGCCCCCCCCCCCCCCCCCCCCCACCGCCCCAATTATGTAGGGACTGTTTCATGATGTCAACATTTGCTTGACAATCATGTGGTATGAGCTGGCCAATAAAGGTTAAAGGGAAAATACAACATTTACAAACATCAAAAAATAAAACTACCAAATCATTTTGAAATACCTTGCTGGACTGTTAGTGAATGACAGTGTAAAGCATCCTGTAAAATCATGGCACCTGGTATACTGTCATTTTCAAGAAAAGTGGTATTTTTGTATCAATTTCCAATGCTGGTTGGCCGACCAGCGTTGGAAAAAACTGGCTTTTTTTCAAATACTGGCCCCAATTGACCATCGCACTTGTTTGCAATCAATTACAAACCTATGAACGGGTACGAGCCAGCTAGACTGGTTCCCTGACTTTACAATTCCCCAATGTATGTAAAATGCTCTGTTTCTTCTTATATGGAGTCAGGGAACCAGACTACAGGAAAATGATTGTTTTTCTTGGTTTTTATAGCATTTTCGGACCCAAAACCTCAAAAAAGTCAGTGTAACTATATTTGCTATATATTTCCAACCCCTCAATTCCATCCATTTCTGAAAATCACAGCAAAAGCAAATGATGTATATTCCCTTTAAAGCAATGCTGCTGATATTTCATTTTCCCTCCCATTGTCTCCAGATCCCCTACGCAGGCTCTGAGGTTCACTTGATGGAGTTGCTAGACGATGTCTGCAGTAAGATGAAAGACTACGCAGAGAGCACAGACCCCGAGACAAAGCTCAAGAAGTATGTGCGCTTCAACGCCAGAAAAGAAGGTGATCCTGTGGAACTGACGAACGTGTCTATCAACCGAGACATCAGTAAATCATTAGAAGTAGCTGTAAGTTCTCATTCATTATATTTGTTATTTTACTCATTTAATGTGATCTGTTTGCCGGAATGGTCCTTGAAAGTCTTTGACCTATGAGGTGATATTCTTTATTCATCTTCATGATTTAAGAAAATATACCTTAATAAAATTTGAAAAAAAAACCTGATAAAGAAAGAAAAATTACAGTTTTAGAGGTGGAAAGAAACCCTTGAATGACATTTAAAGGCAAACGCACAAAATTAGGTAGTTACTGAAAAACCCAGTCCACACTTTTCCGCTGTAGTTCTTGGTGTGTATCCACTCCGATAATAATAAAAAAAAAAAACCATAAACCCAAAAAAATGAGAATAAGAAGCAAAGTTCTTAAAATGTCATCCTTTTTTTTACCAGAAACTGTCATTTCTCCAAGGAACATTTGATTTATGAATCGAATTATACATTATTTGTAACCCCCTGAAATTTATAAACCATTAAATTGTGGCATTTTGTCTGGCCTATGGACACCACGATAACAAGTCAGTTCACTACAATGCTGCTGTGCTTTAGTTCTATGTTTTAGGAGGGAGTAATCCAAACTAAGAAATAAAGGCAGCAATGTGTATGCCATTAACATTTGAATAACATCGTTGTTTGAATAACATTTTTTTTTTGGGCTACAGTGTCGTAATATTGTGGAGGAGTATGAAGAAGAGATTGTGCAAACCTTTACAGCCAAAGAGCCTAATTTAAAGACACAAATATGCAATGACGTTGCAGGTGAGTGACCATTTCATGGGTTGTTTTCTTATTTAATTGTTCAGAGGCACTAAAACAAGTCAAAAGGAAAAATTGGATAGAGCTCTGAAGGGTTTATCTGTGGTCAAAGGAAAGTGTGTCCACAGTGACTCCAGTCATTTTGGCATCACTTAGACTTTCCAGGCTGTCCCACCCCCCTACTCGCCTTCTCACACTTATGCAACGTGCCACCCTGACCCCTTCCCCCTCCCTGGCAAAAAGAAAATACAGAAAGGAAAAAAATGTTGACATTTTTCCAGTAGAACGTAATTATCAATACAAACTGCTGGAAAAGTGGTTTAACCAGTTCACACCAGAAGTATCTTGACATTGACAGGACGTAGGCGCGGGATTATTTTTCAGGAACCTCATTGCCTGATGGGTTCATGTCTCGATCTGTGGTAGCACGTACACCCTAATATTTCCAACCTCGCTCACTGTGAGCGTGTCGCTGACACATGCTGCCGGCCTCCTTGCTGCATGTTTGTCTGTCATCCATTCTGAGTACAGCAGAACCTTTGCGTGTAAACACGTCATCCAGCGCGAACTGGTTGTAATATATTTGAAAGACACTGATTGGCCAGGACTGTGCCTCTAATCATTGAATGGGTTTTAACCTTTTTTCACACTCTGTCCGTTTTTTCCTTGGCAGAAGTTTGTTCGGGGCCAGCAGAGGTTAATTCTGAAAAGACTGAGCTTTGATGAAGACCAACTGCAATGTTTATGTCTCATCGTGGTATGTCTATTTATCAAAAGTACTTTGCAACTTAAAAATGGACCAGTAAGGTATGCAGCCATTATTCAAGCACAGAGCCTAATGTATGTTGTTACAGGTGTTACTATCCAGGCTATTCTTGAGTTTGAAACCCTTCTTCCCCCCCCCCCAAAAAAAAAACACGAATTGCAGTTTTTATGGCAATACAAAGGTTTTGAGATATCAACCGAAAATTTAAAAAAAGGCCGCTCATTGAGTTCGGTAATAATCTTGAGTAATCTGCAGCTTGGAAATAATTTACTTCAGGTGGGGCAGACTGATTCCTGCCTCCCTTTTAGGATCCATAATGTGGGGATTGGTAACCAGTCTACTTGCAGTGCGAATCTGTTTGTGCGCAAAAGCAACGCAAAATAGCAGTGTTTTTCTTTTCTTCAAAGGATTGCGGATGTACGAGGCGAGTTAAAAACAAATTAGCTAAAACAAAATCTTCAAAGTCAAAATTTACTAGGGAAAGGGACCTAGGAAAGAATTGTGCTTAGCACAGCAATACTTGCTCATCAAAAATGGGTTACCGGCTAAAATGTCAAGTGAAAAGCATCTCCATTTACTGGTTCCCTGTAACTTGTATTATATTGCATATAACTCCCTGCTTAGCAGCTTGCCCAGGACAAGACAGTTTTTGAAAATCGGAATTATGGACTGGAAAACTAACAAGGTTAACCACTTCCCACCATTCCTTTATAATGTAGCTTTTATTTCGTATATATTTGTGTCTCATGTCAAGTGGTATTGACTTTTATTATGATTCCATATGTATGAAAAGTATGTGCACAGTTGATCTCATTTATGTTTTGTATTTTGTATGTCTTTTTATTGGTATGTCTGTTCCACATTTCACCAGGGAAGTGTTATTTTATCGTATTGAAATTTATTTTGATTTTGTTCTTGTTTTGTGGGGTTTTTTTTGGAGGGGGGTTGATTGATTTTTGATTTTTCTTTCATTGTGCTTGTCTTGCACTCAAGCCAATTTTGTTTATTGGGTAATTGGGCACCGATAGTCTTTCATCAAATAAGTGTAAATAGAAGACAGAAAGTATAATTTGTTCCTCCAATCTTTTTCAAACTTAGAGAGGTTTTAAAGAACATTTCTTGAACATGTTAATGTCAGACGGATCTAGACAATTAATGTGCGTTTTCCTACCACAAAACTCCCTTTAAAAAAAGTGACCAGTAAGTTTTGTTGCACCAAACTAATGTAATTAGGAGGGATGTGGGCTTTGTAAACAATGGTAAAAGTATAATAAGGCATTTTATTAAAATCGCTTAAATTTTTCATCAAAACTACGTTTAGCTTAAGGAGTGGTTCTTTCTTTCTGAGCTCAATTGATGAGTACATGTACTGATCTTTTCGGTTAGCTCAGTCGCAAGAGGGCGCTCTCAAAGCACCACTTAACATCGCACGCGCTCGGCCAGTTTCTTTGATTATGCGTCCAAGATTCCCATGGGCTAATCCATGCATGCCGTGGTCAAAACGGGATAACATTCTGGTCTACAATTGAAAGTGGATTGAATATCGAGAGATTGTCCAGGTTCACCCTCATTACCCGGCCATGATTGGTATTGAATTGTAACTAATACCCATTGTTGACCGGGGTGCGGTAATTAACGAATACACCCTGTATACACCCACTTGCTGTTCCATCTAACCCCAAGGACCCACCTCCTTAACCCGTGGGTAGAGGGGGGGGGGAGAATCCTGACATCATCCGCGGGGGTTTTGCGTAATTTCAAGGGAGATCTGGTTCCATCTTGTTGTCTTAATCGCGGAGGCAGGAACAAAACTCGGGCCAGGGATACCGGCAAGACGATCTAGCTAGCATCCTGAGATACTAATCTGGGTTTTCTGGGTACGGATACTGTCTTCGTGTGTTGTAGAGCTTAAACACCCCAGGATGGACCCACTTTTGTGTACAGTTTCAGCATGGAGGAAAGAATTAACAGCGAGCTAGTACCCGAAGGAATGACAGCGTTGTGCTACCGGGTAGGTTGCGGGCAGATATCGGGCAGATATCCGGTGTACATGGGATGAGTAAGCGAGATCTCCCGTTACGGTCTTTAGCCCCATGTCCCCTCCGGAGTGACCGGCCCCTTTAATCAGTGGTCAGTCTATTACCATACTCGATTTGGACCAGTTGACCAGTGCTTGACCTGAATGCTGTGTAGCTTCAGGGCCCAATTCCACCGAGTAGCAAAGCGGACGACCATTTAGTTAGCAGATACAGTGTCAATAGTCAGCTCAGAACTGGTCACAAAATAATTATATAAATTCGGCTGACATTTCTGCTGATAACGTGTATTTCTCTGGGACCAGCAGATATGATTGTTTTTAGAGCTAAGCAGCTTCGTGACACGACTGTCCTCGTTTAGTTTGGCCCGTTGCTCAGTTCACGATTGGGTCGAAATACAGTCCACACTTAGATTCGGTCACAGTGCATGGAGTCAAGCAACGCACGACGTAAAGCGAGGACGCGCAACAGCCCTCGTTTTGCACGCGTGGCCTTTACGTTCACCCAAATAATGGCGATTCCATGCGATGGGCTAACTGTACTTTTACCATTTTAACAATTCTGGTCGTTGGTAAAAATGCAATGCGTATTTGTTCACAAATGCCGCTGTCTACTAGGTGTTATATAGTTTGACATTAAGTACCAATTGTGATAGGGTATAAAAACCAGTGACGTCACAGTCATTATGAATGTCATGGCCATCAAGAATGCCGCTTCCAAAACGATTGGCTACTGCTAAAAGTAACACACATGTCTATGGGAAATTGTTGCAGTCGCTTCCATAGGCGCATGTGTAATAGCAAGCCGTATACGCGGCCCAACATCCATAATCCTATTACACTTTCTCGCAATCTATCGCAATATCTCGTGGTTACTCATGCTTTCTCACTCAATCTCGTCCCATCTTGCCTGCAAAAATCCGACAAACTAACAGCAGAGAACTCACGATACTAGTTACCGATCATTAATAAGATTTTAATTGAATTTATATATACAATCAGTTATTTACATGTTGGTGAACATATTTTATTTTTAATATAAATGTATCCATAATTATTTTAAAAAGGATTTTAATAGGCTGCGTAGCTTTATATCGAAGTGCGTTTCGTGCTATGACTTGAGTATAATGAATCTAATACACAATTGTACTTATTCTGGGACATTGGTTATAAGACGATTGAGCTTTGCTTTAGACTACATCATAATCATGTTTTGAAAATTGCAAGGGGCTAATACAAGGTGATGTTGACCCGATGCAAAATTGAGATATGAGGCGAAAAAAAGGTCGGTTTTCAGAGGATTAGTCTAATAAGGGTGCTGTGGCCTAAGCCTAGTGCAACGAGTTGTATGGTGACGAGGCGCTAGTGGCGTTATTGGGAACTCAAGGGCTTGGTTTTTTTTCTGGAGGGGCACTCTATTTGGGGGGCAGCACATTTTTGTTTGCCTCCCCGAATTTTGAGCGCGGGGTGGGGATGGGGCACAGGCCTAGAGTGGGGGGGGGGGGGGGGGGGTTCTTACATGACGTCGCTGGGGAGGTCACAGGAATACTGGGGAACTTGGAACTACGCAAGGCTTAGCATCACTGATTTCCCCTTCCAGATAAATTCGTGATTCGAAAGTCAAAATTGAGGCTCCCTTAGGTCATATAGTACAACCATGGAGGAAGGAATAGACTTGCTGGCTGCAACGTGTCTAACCCTTATGCATTCGGAAAGACATGACCAGCCTGCGACCCGAGTGGAGGTAAAACGCTTAGTGAATATACACTTGGCAGAGAGAAGCATAATACACTGTACAAAAATGTACATTCAACCAAACTACAAGTCATTTTAGGTAAAGTTGAGGGCAATACCATCACATGAGGCGATTGACAATCCACATGTTGCAGGCAATCTGTAAAGGAAAGCGGCAGTTAAATTTTCATTCCGCGCAATGTTTCGAGAGGTTCTTTAAGATTGCAGTGCATTTTGGTTGCCTCCATGTTGCATGTAATAACTGCCTCATCATCATGTGACAAGACCCTTTATAGTTTCGTTACCCTTCCCCTTAAAGCGGTCTACCCCTTTCATAATGTCCGTCGACTCCATCAGTGTTATAAGCCTCAGTGTGTTTGACTCATCGCACTTCTCGATGGAATCCACCGGCTACGGTTCCCCCCGCCAACGATGGCCGTTGCGATACCGTGGAAGCAGCCGCCGCTGCCGCCGCTGCCGCAGCGTCTTTGCCGAAGCTGGGCGGGGGCAGTCCGCCGGTTAGCCCGGGTGGTGGGTAGGGTGCGTAGGCGGCTGCCGTGGCCGCGGTGTACGGTCCTAGCGGGCTGTACCACGGAGTAAGGAAAGGGGCTGTCCACAGGCCCTGCCGCTGGGCAATCTTCAGGCGAGCCATCATCTGTTTCTTCCATTTCGTCCTGTGTAACATTCAAAAATGAAAAGTAAAACAAATATATTGAATAAAATGGTTACATTTGTGCACAAAAACGTGGTTCTGAAAAGAACCAGTGGGAGAATACTGTTATCAACGTTTCGGAGAGTATACTCCGTCCTTCCTCGGGAGACTATGCAATATAGACCCCTTGCACGATGCCCCTCACTGAGGGCAGTTTCTCTCATTTAAATTCAGTAACAGTTACAAGTACAAAGCGTCAATACTCATCATCCACATAGAGGAACAAAGACATGCCCTCAAAATGTGACGTTAAGTGCAAGGCGTCTATATAGTGTACACTACTTTCCAATTTTGATTTAATGTTTCAGTTTTAACTTGTACCCCTCACGTGTCCCTGTTAAGGCATCACAGTTTGACATTCCCTTGAATTTCTGCCAAGAAAAACAGTTTTTTACAAAGGCTTTCTTTCTCCATTACAGACACATCAATTTTTGAAATGGAAACCGATAACATGTAAAACTCACAAGCAATGTACCCTAATTGAATTTAACGTGTACCCGTCAACCAACTGTCATATTACAACCTAATCACTGTTTCACATGCCAAATTATTGTTACAAAATCTCCACATCTCTAAATTCAAAAATCAATTTGGATAAAGATATATCGCACGCAGAAAAAAATTCAGTGTCTCACGAACGGACAGATTCAAATAAGAAACAAGCAAAAACACTGTGCAGAAATGTGGTTATGCCATCCGTCCATCACAGGCTCCCGCTATAGATCTGTTCAATCAAGCGTAATTAACCCCAATGGCGAGCTGCTTAAACGCCGATATTGTTACCGGTAATAATGATGATTCTACCCGTTGGCACGGCGGGTTAGGATCGATATTTCATCCCAGTCTTGCGCTGCCGATAATTACTCCCGCTTGGTTCCTGTACGCCGTATATCACCGCGTGGGGACAAAACGCAGTGGTCTTCCGTCCGTACTGACAAGCATTATATGGGCACCCTCACCTCAAATTTCAAACAAGCCCTCCAATTATTATTCATTTGTGTATAATTTCTTATTCATCATCCCATGTAGAAGTTTTGTTTGCAAAATATGAATTATAAATTCCTTTGATAGGAAAAGTACCAGCATGCTGCTTCTGCAAAGGCAAACCTACGTGTGGTTACTTTGCAAATGTCGAATCTATATTATACGACTTTTTCTTTATCATTCTCTCTGACGCCGACAGTTGTCCTGAACGATACTAGTTTTTTACAAGGCATTACGGAAACCAGAAGGATGTTCACTATCAATTTGAAATTAAAAAATACCTGATAAATGAAAGGGCAAACAACTGAGGCCCAATGATGAAGCAACTTATTAAGAAAAACCAACATTTTAAAACTTGTAAAACTCTTGATAATGGATGATTTCTAGATTCGAATTACAAAAATACAATAAAGTTTTACGCTAATCATTAGAAAACGGACAGACAGAAAAATGATATCGGATTTATTTTCATTTCAGCGTGGTTTAAAGCGCCCTGGTGCACCGTAAAGTTACTCGATACCGCCCGTGAAGGAATGGCGGTTGTCGGTAACTGTCACAACACGGTGTCTTTTACACCGCGACTCAAGACAGCAACCATGTATCGTCTGATCGCATCCACGGTGTCGAGTTGTCTCTCTGGGTTACTGTATCTCCCCCTTCTTGAGTCTTTGACTATTAATGGAAAAACACATAGCTGTTGCTCCCTCATCAGACGGAAGGGCATACCGGTAATAAGCCCGAGAGATGCGGTTTTGTTGAGGCTTATTAGATAGGGAGAGATGGGGAACAGAGACCACGTCATTCGGCCAAGTTTTGCCGTGAACGAACAGGACACCGCGGAGAAAATCATTTGGCCGCGGTGATCGAATCTGCCACCGCAGGCAAGTCAAGAGCGGTGTATAAATAACGCTTATCCACCTTTAGATGGCTCTTGAGGACTGACTGAGCCCCGGTAAACACAGCATCTTAACCAAGCCCCTTGAGCTACTCTGAAAGCCGATACCTGCGCGCAACGACCCATCACGGGTCCAAGTAGACACGCTGGCTCCGGAGATATACCGACGAATCGGAACCCCCCGGTTAACTTATTTTTTCTCTTATCTCCGCGTCCGCTGGCCAAGCGCCCACACACTGTACATACCCGTGCGGAAAAGAAAACAACCTGTGCGCAAGGTTTTTGTTTCATCTTCCCAAAAGGAGAAAAAAAAGTAGACAAGACAAAAGTTTGTTGTGCCAGTAATGACTGCAAATCAGGTAAGGCCAGGATAGGGAGGAACAAGCGATGTTGCGTGGAGTATTATGGAGCTCCCTAGGCGGCGTGTTAGCTTGCAGCCCGTGGGGGCGCAGCGCCCAAACGCCCGCTTCTCCAAGTCTGCACTGGCCGGTGTTTTCTTTAATTGCTTCGAATTCTAATTACGCGGAATAAAAGACCGGCGATGGCTGTTTCGGTAACATGCACGTGCCGGGCTGAAAGGACGGGTATAAAATAGCTCACCTGCTGGTAAAAGCGAGATGGAACGAAGGGGGGTTGGGAAAACTAGAGTGTATCAGGATAAAAATTCGCACCGCGGCACGCGACGATTGTACTTTCGTCTTTGTCGACGGGCTGGTTAAGTGCAGGACGGATCGAATTAGTGTTGGGGATTGTCTTGTTCCCAGACTCCCTCATTTAGTAGGAACAAAGGGTGGACATGTCATGAAGTCACACATTCCCCTTCGTACCTGACTCTTCAGAACCCATCAGATTTTTGGCTTTTCTAAATTAATTTTGTTGCCTTACCGCCGTGGTTCAAAGCTTTGATGACATTCCCAATAATCGTTTATTCTAATTGATGTATATTTTAAAATAATTTTCTTATTTTCATTCCATGCCTTCTATGGTTAATGAATTTATCATTGAAGCATAAGACCCAGAAAACAACCGACAGTTTTTTTTAATATGTATAAAATTGCTTGCTTGGAGTATACTCATACTGAACGTATAATGCAAATTGTTTTTGCTAACAAGGCCCGGGACCCACATCAATATTAATGGAAGATGCACTTAACAGTTTTTCTCTTTAATGGCAGGTCTTTTTTTTTCTGTAAGAGGAGCAAATGTTTTTTTCTTCTAAAAATCCAATTGGAAGTTCACAAGTTATCTTGAATCTAGAATCAATTATGATGAAATCATTTCATTGCAAACACTGAACAACCGTATCATCCGGCTGTTGCCAGTAGACTCTTTTCAAGAAGTGAGACACGATTACACCCTGTAATTCAAACAGATTGTCGGGGCAGCAACCGACAGCGATGGCGCTAATTAAGAGACAAGTTAGCGATGAGAACCGCTGATCTGCATGCCCGTAGTCGAGTCTCGAATCCTGGCCGAGCCCGGGCTTCGCTCGCGGCATGCCCCGGTCCGCGCCCCGTCCTCTCCTTGAACGGTTGCCTGGTCATTGATTGTCGGTCTCCGGCGGGTTAAACACTCTATAATAAACCTGCCGTGCTTCATGTACACGCGTGTCCCAACAAAACACAAGCGACACTCAACTGAGATGGAAAACAGTAACTCCAAAACAGGCCTCCGTATTTCAATTTGGATACACCGCGGCTAACTCGAGCCATGCAGCGACCCTCGGACAGCGCGGCGAGCCGAGAGATTCTTCTCTCCCCCCTTGAGGAAATCAATACATCCCCTCACCGTGTTCCGTGTAATAGTCCCTCGCGCAATTTCCATTAAAGATTATCGTTCGGCTGATGGAATTTGTTTTAGTGTAAACGACATAATTAATAAGCCATTTCCTAATATCATTGGGTCATTGATTTGGGGGGATATATAGGGGTTCTTGGTTGGCAGACGAGTGGCTCTGGTCAGCCCCCCCCCCCCCCCCCCCGTACTCCAAATAGCTTGGAGTGGTGTTCACTCATTACCAGTACGGGGGAAGTTTAGGAAGGCTTGATGATTTGCGTATGCAATCGATTTAAGAGTTTGGCCGAGAGAGTCAATACGATCCCCTTTGCAGCTCGCTAGGCGCTAGGCTGCGTATACACTGCGTGCTGAGATTCAGGGGCCTTTTTTTTAATGGAACACGCAGCTATTTCAGCTGACGGGAGACGGTGTCGCCGTTTCATCGATCGCTCTGAAGCGAGCTGCAAACTCGGTCCAACTCTCTAGGACAAAACATCAGACCGTCAGATCATTAGCGTCCACAAAACGTGTCTTTATCACTCAAAAGGGAGCGGAACACTCTTGTTTATTCATTTCAATTTTATTTAATGATCAGTTGTGAATCATCTTACCAAATAAAACCTACGAAGACGTCATGAATGCATCAAAATCGGAACAACCATTAAACCAGTTTTCACTAATGTATTCTGAAAGGTAGATTTCAAGAATGAATCATTTTTAGACTGTTTTCTAGAGTTTACAGAGGCAATTATTTATGAATCACCGTAATATCCGTATTTTCCATAGATTTGATCAATCTTAACCCATTACCGATGTCGACTGACCGGGAAAGCATAGGCCCAAGTCAACCCTTTTCAGGTCAGATTGCTCAATATATAAAGGCTTCATTCTGTCTACAAGGCACAATCAAAAGCTGGACTCCTGTTTCTGACATCATAATTTAACAGGACTGCATTGTTTCAGTTTTCGTATTTGAGGGGCTAAATGCGGTAAAAAAAATGTTGGCATAATAGTAGATTTTGCTTTACTTTCCCAACCTCATCCCCATGCTGTCGAGCAGTACGCTTTAAACGGCTCTGCAATCTTGAACATTATATTAGGAACATGATAGTATGGTACACGATATAAATCCATTCCTTGCTGTTGCGAGATCGAATCAGAATCAGCCTACAGGAAGCAAGTTTCATGGGACCTAATGGGTCTGCTATTGTCTCCAGGTTGAAAGTAGTTCACGGGGACGAGGCTGTTATTTCCCGCGCTTTATTCGAGCAAACAAATTTTAATCTGAAAACGCCCTCTATTTATTAACTCAACTCTGACGTCAGACACGAATTTGTTCTTATACTTAAAAAACTCAATTCTTCCTTTATTACTTCGTGTTTCTTAACCTTTCTTTAATCACCAATCTCTCAAAAATCCGAAGTTGTCTGTTTTGATATCAGCCTATGCATATTTTTGTTTTCGTCCGAAGCAAAAATTGAATCCCTTTTAAAATATTAAAATACACGTGTGCAACTTTTAACGCAGAACATCTGATCTCCAGAAAAAAAAGAATGCATCCCAGAAGACTTCACGGCTATTGGCATAACCTCTTTTTTTCTTGTTCCTAGAACAGAACTGCTAAGATCGCCCTCAGTCTTTGCCAAGGAAACGGTTGACGGAGGAAATCGATGCTTGTAAAGGTTCCTCAGATGTACTCTGCACCGGGACTTAAAAGGGTAGAGGCTAGGTACATGTCGACACCAGCATTTACCATGATTGGACACCAGGAATTGAACTGTCTCAATATAGTAATCAATGGCTTCTCGTGTTCAGTCGTATGCGTGCCTAGGTAACAATATTGTAGAAAAGTTCCACCCCCTCTTTGTATGTTATTAATTAATAATCAACCGGTGTGGGGTGAAAGGAGGCTATAGTAGACACAGTAGACGAAAACTGTGAATGCATTCGTACACAATGACGTAATAATATGCAATTCTTTGTGTGTAGCCTCAGTACTGTTCAAATGCGGCATTTCCGTACAAAGAATAAAACCGAGGGATATGGCGTATACCATGATTTAACACAGAATTCTATGGTCGTACTATTATAAATGACATATATGAATTGTATTGACGACATTTTGTTGTAAGACTTCAATGTGGCTATTGCTGTGGGTATATAACTAAGGGGCATGGGGCACGCCCCCCCCCCACTCGATCGAGGACAGTGCCCTCCCCCTTCCCGTGCCCCCTCTCCTACTCACTTGTGGAAGGCGAAGATTAGCTTTTCATTGGAAATCCATTTATTGCCCCCTCTTAAAAAATATACCCTTCCAAGTGTCCCGCCCCTTTAAAGTGGACCCCAGTTACGTCACTGGTGGCTTATATGAATTTATGAATTAGAGAAAAAAATCATTGCGCATAATTACACGTTATCTAAGTAAAAGCGGAAAACAGGCAGACAAGTCTTGGACGATACTAAGAACAGTTTCAGAAGGCTAACCTGCAAACGATAAGCTGGATAGAAAAAATACGCAAATAAAGCTAGCACAGTAAGAAAACAGAAGTGCCATTCAGATTAGAGATCCTCACTTAAAATGACAATGAATAAAATGCTGCTTGGTTGAAGCCAAACTAGTCCCATGTCCTACAACTAAACTAACCTTCTGTTCTGGAACCACGTCTTGATTTGTGTCTCGGTCAGGTTCAGGGCCATGGACAGCTCCAGACGTTTGCTGACACTCAGATACTTGTCGGCCTTAAACTCCTCCTCCAGTCGTTCCAGTTGCTTCGAGGAGTAGGCTTGGCGGGGTTTGCGGTCCACACCAGGCTTTCTGGGCCGTCTACCAAGTGGTTTAGGTCCTAGTGGGAAAATTGATAAAAATAAATCGTATGTACATCTTTAAAAAAAAATATATTGATGACGAAATTATGAGACAGTGCCGTCCCCCAGAGAGAGCAGTCTTTGACCTCTTTGTACATGTACCTTACTGACTCACTGACTCATTGTCACTTGTGAACCGGGCAGTGTTATCATATAGGAGTACCATGTGACGTCAGTGAATGGGCTAAATGCGGCCCATTGTTATACACAGATGCACGTAAAGACTTCCATTAAATAGTAGCTCTGCGTCAATTGCATAGATTTAGCCCAGCTTGAGTAAGATCGCCTTGACTTTTTTTTCCAATTATACAAAGATATATCAAACAATTGAAAATAAAAAAATAAAAATTAGGTTATTCGTGGACATTGTTTTTTTGTAAAGATTCACCGTTAGCGCACGAGATAAATCGGAAAGGCCCGCGGGCCCATTTTTATTGGCTAAAATAGCAACTTAAAGACACAATCCCGAGAAATTGAATTAGCGAGAAGCGGGCATTAATGGAGCGAGTAAACGGGCAGCGCGGTGTATGTGATTAAGAAACAGGTGCATCGTGGCCAAGGCGAAGGAAGGGGAAACCCGTCAGGGCGGCAATGTTTTCTTCTGCAGTCAAGTATAGTCATCACTGACCATAATGTGCATGTTCTTTGGTTCGCGAACTTTTCAAGGTTGCAGACCGGTAAATAAACTGCTATAAACCCAAGTGATAAACCCCCCATTTCCAAATATCAGCAACATGACTCACGACTCTCCATACAATTTAAGCATATTTATCTTCTTTCATTTTCTGTTCAATGTTTTTGGGGCAATCCAATGACTTTTGTGAGAAATTTCCATCGAACGATAATCATCCCTAAAAGCAGTCCTGAAGGCCATCGCCATTTTGAAAAGAAATGATGCCTACTCTCCATTGCATAATAGAGCAATTTGGGGCCCACTTTCATTCACACTTGACAGAAATACATAAGCTCGCAGTCCTGTCCTCGGCTTTCACCCTTCTTTTTCACAAACTCTCAAGTTTTCAAGGCCTTTTTGCTGGCCTGCACCCTTCCCTTCATGATGCCATGACAATATTCCATTCGTTTGATTTGTTTCTAGCCCCAAAGCTCCTTTTTGCAACCTTAGATCATATACACGTAAACGCTGCTGCCAACTGCAATCCGCAGAAATATTGAAACAATTTTATTGAATGAATTCTTAGCTAAATCATTGGTACACAACTTTCACTTAAAGTTGAAAGAAAGAAAACAAACAAACATTTGTTCTTATTGCACACTATGAAATAACCAAGCAAATAACCTGACAAACAATTCTCTTTTCACGCCCCGTTCTAAAACTACAGATGCGATTATGAGCACCCAGCATAATACTTACCTATTCAGAAGAAACCACTTTAGAATATTTAGTACTCTTCAATTGTCATTATACTCAGTTTGACCTTGCGTTGAGTTCATCTTTTAATGCCACTTAATTAGAATCATCTCAGGATTATGAATTACTTGGGATTGTTAGACCCTAGTTCCACCTCTACCTCTACATTTTACCCTCTTATACAGACACGTTTTAATACTGTACCGGTATAACTGCAAAAAGGAACAAAAATAGACGCAGGTTCATTAAAAAAATCATTACATTATGATCCGTCCGTTCCGCGCGGATAGATCCTCGTCAAGGTATGATAATTATGGTTGCATCCCGACAATTGAAAGTGTCTAATAAAACCGAATAATTTCTGTGTTAATCGCATTCAAAAATCATCTTCTTGCTGGCATCATTAGGTTTGTCCTTCGAAATATATTTCGTTCTTTTTTAGTGATGGCGCTTTATCATTAGTGAAGAATTATAACGCGGCCCAAACCGAAAACTCAATTATGGGATGCTTAGAGATGAGTCTAATGTTGTCTCATTTAAAAAAAAAAAGGCTGAAGGACAGGGTAGTGGAAGTCTTTGTTCCAGTTTTCCACGAACTTTAGCACCAGCTGCATGGTTCGATCGTTTCAATGTGTCATTTTGTTTTGTTGATCCCGATTTTGAGCATTTTTCAGTGCGCCTTCGTGAGACTGCCAAAAAGAGTGGCTGAAATGTTCAACAGCTGGGAACGATGTACGATAACAGTTGAGGGCAATAATGCTGGAATCTTTTGATGGACATAACCCCGTGTTTTCTGTATTTTAATTTTTTGAGTCTTGAAAATAAAGGCACTCTGCAATTTGGAGAATGTTTCTGGAAACGCTCCTTAAATACGCCTTTAAAACTAAAGTATGTCAGCATAACCCATGCCGTAGACATGAATTCGACCCTACAATAATCTTAATGGACACGGAGGTTAGAGTTTGTGTTTGATTGTTACGGTTAGTTCAAAGATGAATTTCCCGTTGTTCAATGTCTCATTCAAAAGTGAATAACGTTTTATATTGCTATTGGAAAATAGCAATTAAAAAAAACCTATTTTCGAGGTGAAAGTCGATAATAGCATTTTCGAGTTTCACCTCGGAAAATGGATTTGTTTTCAACTGCTATTTTCATACAGCAATATAAAACATCATTCACTTATGAAGGAGACATTGAACACGAAACTCCACCACCCTTTTACACAGGGCTGCAGACGCCAAAATCAGAATTAAGTAGTTTAAACAAATCGTACAAATTGAAAATATGTAAATAAAACAAAAATCATTTTTTGTAGAGTAAGGGGTTTGCACCTTTAATTAAAACTGTTTCAAAAACAGTCTTAACGAGGCTGCCTGGCCTCTTCGCCCGCTCTGTTCAACTGATGAATGCAATCAAATCCAAGACCCTTCTGTTTTCTTCATGGTTTTTTGAACGTCAACTTTTTCTGGACATTTGCCGCCAGCTTTCCAGGCAAAGATTCCCAGGTTAATATTATGTCAGGTATAACACTTTGCTATGTTTTAAGTCTCCCTTGCAAATATAACCTGCATGACAATCATGCCAACACTTAATATATTACGACATATAACTATCCCACTCGCCTGCTTTTCAAAAAGATTATTGGAGTGAAAAAGGGACCATTTTAGAAGAAAACTAACAATTCTCCAAACCTGATCAATTGCAAAGGAGATGCTTGGGAATCAGAACGTGAGACTCAAATTTAGTTGGTGCATCCCATAAAATAATTTTAGCTAGTACTCCCCCAAGGAATAGTTACTGAAACGCCCATGTTTATTTGTACCAAGCTCACACCCTGTGTGTCCGTTCTTCCTTTTGTGTGAACTATTGACGTTCCTCCCGTTTGCTTGTTGCATGTAACGGTGCCAAGGACATATTATTGCCCACAAAATAGGGCTAAACAAACTGCAGGTCAATACACAGGTCTGCGAGCCAAAAGTAGACCATCGGACGATAAAACGCTATTTGGCAGGGTTATTATTGGGCTGATTGTCGCCCAAACAAGACGACAATGTAACCGGGTGAATAATTGAAGAGATAGACAGAACGTAGACATCTAATGATGCACTCACTATCGACTTTCTTTAGGAAACCCTATGATGCCGAGACGTATTTGTTATATATCGCTTTGGACCCCTGTTTCAGGATTAAGAAGTGAGAACAAGTTAAATAGGTACAAAAATCTTAATGGTTCACAATGGACACTTTTAAATACTGTTTCATTTGCAAAAATTGAAACCAGCGACTAGACAATTTAGAGTGAAAATCATATTATTGAACTCTGCAAAAAAGAAAGAATCGATACTGTGGAAACTCCAGTATAAACTCGACGTATTCGGTTGAAGGAATTTCACTGTACATTTTGTCACTACTTTCAGTCGTTAGTGAATCTCAACTCCAATAGATTGAAAGATTTTTTTCAACAAAAGAGTCAATAGTTTGAAAGCATCGCCATGGGCGTCGCCAGGATTTTTCGAGAGGGGGTAAAACATATTTTTCCCGAAAAAATCTTGTATTTCGCAACATATTCTCGATTTATCATTTTCAGAGGGTGGGGGGGGGGCAGGGACATTCCCCCCCCCCCTTGCAGTAGGTCGGCGCTCGGTTATAGCACGGTAGTTGCTCTAAACGCCCTTCCTCCATGGTCGAACTAAATGCATTCAAGAGCAACCTGACGTTGTTAAATAATTGTCAGGCATTGTAATAATGTAGGCTACTTCGCGTGCCACGTTTATTCCCACCAAATTCCCGGAAGACATGTGAGGAACCACTCGAAATAATGCGGGTATTCGGCACGGTCCATAAACTACAGTGGAGGGAGGGGGACGAGAAGGCATTCCCCCCTCCTTTGCTCGTACCCCCCCCCCCCCCGCAAACAGGACGCTGGGATACTGATGAATTCACGCTCTGATTGGTTGGATTTTGCGTGACCTGTGACCTGCGCTTCATCACGGTCATGACTCTGCAAGGTTTAAAACGGCTTTTATTCCAGCTTAGAGATTTTTTTTCGCTGAAAAGCGTAATAATGTAGGACATTTTGTAAAAATTATCTGTGCTTTAAATTTACAATTCCCGTCACTTGCTCAGGCTCCGTTTCGAATCACGAACGGTCGGATTGCATTATGCGACGGTCAAAATTTTGTCCACATGGTCCGCAATGCAACAGAAATCACATCCGGTATATATGGAACGCGTGCATTTCTATGGGAAGTTTTCGGATAGCATTTGCGCACATTGTCTAACTGCGGTCTTGAACAGCTGCAGCCAGATGCTGTATACATAGGTCATAGGCCACTTCCTTCACAATATTCTGTGAAGCTCATCAGCGTATCCCAGCGTCCTGTTTGCAGGGCGGGGGGTACGAGCGAATACCCCTTCCCTCTTCACTGTTAATATACGTGTCACTGCCCCCCTCCACTCCCCTTGAAAAATTGATGCACCCCTCCCACTCCCCCCCCCCCCCCCCCCAAAGTTTGACCCGGACCTATAGTTACGTCACTAGGCCCGGGATACGTATGCAGCTCGAAATAAACAAAATAGCTGGTTATTTCACCATTTTGTGTTGTTATTTAATTAACCAAATCTACATACAATACATGCAGGGCCTATGCAATATCAAGTTTAAAATATATTCTTATATTTTCAAATATCACCTTATTTGACCTTTTCTTGGCATTTTACAGGGTATTTTGGAGCCATTTTGTTATTATGCTAAGTTGCTAACGCCAACATCCATACTCATGAGCTTAAATGTGATGTCATTCCAGGCAGAAATCTCAATGTTACAGCTATTTCAGGACAAGAAGTTGCTAGAATTCTGGATATTTTGCTGTTATAAATCTTACTTACTTTAGTACCGATGAATGCACAAAAGGTCCACTCAAGGCATTGCCCTCTAAGATGGCTGCTAAGCATAAGGTCTATATTATAACGGTGCTTATTAGAGGGATTATCGAAACTGCATTAATGTTTCCCTTGGGGCTGTGCGGTCTTGCGACCAGTCACAATCCACAACTATTCTCCCAATAAATCGATACCGGTGCTGGTTTTGTTAATCGTTGGGTAGCAGACATAAACCACCAGCTCTGTTGAGGAGACAACAAAATAAGCTGGGGACCGTTCTGCAATGGTTCTACCGGCAAAATGTCAGGCTAGACTGATTATGTCCCCACTCGGAACGCGTGGCGGGGTGCTAACGCTCTCCGCGTGTGGTACTTTCTCCATAATACCAGTCAACGCGGACACTTAACAAACCCCTATTCATTTGGAACACTAATAGTTTAACAGGACAATGGGGATAAATCAATTCGGCAGTGTTGCCTTTAAAAAAGAAGAGAACAATGTGGCCGACGTCTGGTTTAGTAAGAGATGACACCCATCATGAAAAAAGGCCATTTTGCATTATGAATTGTTCTAAATGTGTATCAAAATTAAGGTATTTGTGATACGTCGCCAGCCGTACAGCTTTCGAACGCAGAATGGAACTGATGAGTGATTTTTTAACAATAAAAGAACAAATGAGATCTTCTAAAGCTGTTCAATTGTAATAAAAAAAAAGTGGGCAAATGGTTGGATATTTTTGTTGTGTTTGGTCAACATACCAACTGCCGACACTCATTCTTCCCAATTTGGTCAATTTTTACCCGTATTAACCAACAATGAGGTAACTTCGTACCAATGTTGGGCAAATAACATTGCCCAACAAACAGTGTTTTACCAAACTTATTTATGTTTTTTGTAAACACTTTACGGCCTCATCACAAATTTAAGAGAATCTGTTGGTACAGAAACTATAGTTACTTTCGTTTCAGATGTTATTTTGTTAAAATGATTTTCCCAATTTTGTGTATTCTTTCAGTGATGGAAGCTTCTTCATATAACTCATTAGTCTCATTATAGGATACAACTAAACCAGACCGTTATTATTAGATCAAATATCAATGTCGTAACTTTTTTCAAAAAGACAATAAGTTGCCTAGAGAATAGAATTTTCTCGGCATACCCGCGGCAAAATATTCATAAATATATCATAACGGGATTTTGTAACAATATTTAATTATGCCGGAGTTTTAGTAATAAAACCGTACACGCACAAAACTGTTAATAATGAGAAATCGATATTTCAAACAATGAAATCAATAACATCGAAAAAAAGCTGATAAATTGATTATCGATTTGTTTTCCTTCCGAAAATTAAAAGTAAAGAAAGTAAATGTTAGCAAAAAAACTCTATAATACCCATGTATCTTGCCAAGAGTGTTTGCGAGGATACATGCACAAGGCAACTGTCATCTGTAAACATTTGTCTTCGTCTCAGAATATTTCTTGATTCAAAGTTAAAAAAAAATATTAAAATGAAAAAGCTCCGTGTGGAACAGCTTGTGCTATCCAAAGAATTATTATTATTATTAATTTTAAAGAGTGTGGCTTAGTTGAGAATGTGAAATGGCTAACAACTCCAAAAAGCATTACTATTTCTTTTGGAGTGTTTTTGCACTGAAATGTTTACATCGGTCCATCTGGGCAAACTTTTACTTTCGTAAATTTGAAGAAAAATAACACCGCTGATATCATGAACTTGATGAACACAATCACATACTTCGAATAATAGTTGTTTTCATCGCCGTCATCAGTTTTCAATGTTACAGGTTTAAAAAGCTGTGCGCATTTAAAGATATCGAAAACGTGCGACATGCGTTTTGGCTCAAGGGTGTAAACTGTCGGGGGGGATGGAGGGTATCAGGCATGTGCCTCCTTTTTATGCATGATTTTCCTATTTTTGTTGGGGCCAAGGGGAGAAGGGGTCGAGGTTAGACCACCTAACCCCCGACCCAGTAGATCTGCCACTGTATAATTCGAGCAGAAAGTTGTAATGCATGACTTGTCCTGCACATAAGTAGCTACACAGGTGCGTGCATGGTGGGAAAAACCTGTTTGGTCATCATACGGGTATGTTTGCATGTCCATTAGTTAATTCGCACACTCATTGCTCCAGGGAAAATTATAAGCATATTAAGACATTGTGTATCCATCCACGAAAGAAACTGAAGTTTATGTGGAACCTAAAAACTTTTGTTTCCAGACTCCTCTTAGGAGGGGAGGATTACAAGATATCGGGGAAATATCTGCTGACCAATTTTGAGAACTGTTTGATGTCACGTTGTGTACTTGGCGTTATTTTACAGCAGCATCCATTAGATTTGTTTTATCAAGACGCAAGACACGCAAGGAGACATCCTTGAAGCTCAAGTTGCAATGACAGTACAACAGACAAGTTCCCCGGTACCTGTGGTGGTCATAAATCAATTGGTTCAGACCGCATTTTAATTTGGTGTGAGTGTTTCAGACTTACCTGGGATATTAGGCCGGCCAAAGCCTGCCGCTTGACACCACGATGACCAGACGGGTAGACCACCGGTAGACGCACCGTACGCGTACTGCAACGCCGCTGCGGACGGGCTGCCGAAACAGTGGCCGGGTGGCGGTAGCCCCCCTCCCCCCGGTGGCCCAGTCATCACCGGCACCCCCGTGTCCCTCACTGCCGTCGGACGGAACAAGTGTGCCCCGTAATCACCACCCAGGGACGACTTGGACTCATCTACCGGTCTGCCGTCCAGTTTGTGGTGGTGTCGGCTGTGGTGGTGGGACGGTGAAGTCTGTGTGGAGGAGCCAAGTATCTCCGCGATGGAGAAGGAGGTTTTGGCAGCGGATGACGGCGGGGGGAGTTCCCCGCTCCCGCTGCTCTCTCGCCCACTGGTGTCCGGTGACGGTGTTGGGGCCAACAAATCCATATTGGCGTCCGTACTACAGAAACTGTCCTCTCCGTTCATCAAGCCAACTTCCATGACTTATTCCTCGAAAAAAAGCTAACCCGTTTAGTTTCGAGGAATATGCAGTTATAATTATGATTTCAAGCTTTTTGCACGCTTTTTAAACTCTTACACATTGTACTTTCTTGTTATTATCTTGTATCAAGTATGTCACTAGTGAGTTGAAGGTCTGATATTAAATCGGCTTTTCTTGCGTCCTATATACTTTGTCTTTCTCGTCGAGTAATGTTTAGTTACAAGAGGTTACAGGGCCCAAGTAACCACCGTTTAACACAATCCGTGTTTTTAAGATGGAGCCATCTATGAGATATTTATTCCTCGTAATATTTTAGGCATGGCTAAGTCCTCGTTAAAAATCGAATGGCGAATGAGAGCGGTCGACCGCAGCCGAGCGATCACCACACAAAGCGACCGGGGCTTGTGAGTGGTTCAGCCGGCGTGGAAAAAATCGATAGCACGCTTGCCCATTGGCTCATCGAAACTTCCTCGGATCACGGCCCCAGTGCGTATACATGTATGGTGTCGGAGAGGACAAACTGTTTGTCCATACGAATGCTACCCTTTGAAGCCAATTTTCAATTACTTGAGCAAACCGCAAAAGTAATTTGAATATTGTATGATTGAAAATTAATGCGTAGTCTCTTTTTTGCACGGGTATCTAATTGAATTTCCAATTGAATAAGTTTAGAATAAAAAGGTTTTTTTTTAAGTGGATGCCTGCATGGGATTATCGTTTTATTTTATTTCCAAACTTTTCTAGCGCTGGTTGTTAGCAATCTAAGTTGAAAACTTTGACTGGGAGTAAGACATGACCAAAGTATACGAATACAAACAAGCACGCAGCATAAAACTCGTTTCTTTGTAAGATCGATGAAGTTAATCTTGAAGACTGTCGATGATAAAACAATTTTTCAGGGTGTATAGGCTATTTTCAACAACGATGGGCTCAATACAGGAGCTGTTCTACGGTCGCAAGAATATTAAGAGATATAAACAACATATTAAAGAATATTAATAAATGTATACAAAATTGCCCCTGTTACGCCCCAACTGTTGCAATGACCCCCGACTATAGTTTGAGATCGTCCCTATCATCCCAACTATAGTTGGGACGATGCTTTAGTTGGGGTGTATAACCTCCCCATTGATCTAATGATCAAATGGTGAGCTCGAAATCCAGGGAAGCGTTCGTTGGGAGAGAGCTGACGAACATCCCTACATGTAGTAATAATGGTGCTTCTCTTGCAATGCATTGCAAGGCCTACTTTTTGGGACCCTGGTTTTGCATTTCTCTAGGTCCGTTGCCCCCTTAACACGCCCTCCAGAGGCTTCACTCGGTACACCTCTAGTTGGGCAACTTCTTAAAAACGTAACCTATACATTACTGAAAATTCAAATTGGGTTTTGTTTTGTTTCGATTAAAGAAAACTAGGACTGGCTTTTGATGTATGAGGTGTCATACAATTGAGTATCGAATTGGTAATCCAGTGACTAGTGTTTGCCTTGAACGTATAATCTTGTAGTTTATATGGAAGGTTTTCGGTACCAAAAAAGAATGTATTGCTATCCCCCCCCCCAAAAAAAAAATGGTGTTTGGGCCCACGTGGCTTGATTCAAGGTCTATAATTTATTCTGCGACACACCCGTAGAAATACTTTATGTTATGACTTCGTCAGTTTGCAGACAAAAAGGATATATGGTCGTTCGCTTTAGATCAATGTACCAAAATGGACGTTGTATGTAACAAAATGAACAATGTAACAAAATATACATTGTAATGAATATGTACTTTTGCAGGTGTTGGTCCCACACGAAGATACGTTGTCTGGCGTCATGAATGCACTTTCCCGGAACTCGTTCGTTTAGTTGTTCGTGGTATAGTTGAGGGTGTATCTTTTAACTTCGTCAGTTTGCAGACAAAAAGGATATATGGTCGTACGCTTTAGATCAATGTTCGAATGTACCAAAATGGACGTTGTATGTAACAAAATGAACAATGTAACAAAATATACATTTTAATGAATATGTACTTTTGCAGGTGTTGGTCCCACACGAAGACACATTGTCTGGCGTCATGAATGCACTTTCCCGGAACTCGTTCGTTTAGTTGTTCGTGGTATATAGTTGAGGGTGTATCTTTTAACGTCAAAGGGTATCATATCAGGCATATTGTCTACCGGATTATTAAAAAATCTTCCACTGAGAAAGGATGCAATAAACCCGAAGGCTATTTCATTTCTCTGATATGCTGTTGTTCGGAATGAACTCACAGGAAGGAAAGAGGAAATCAAATTAATTCTATTGGTCTCATAGCACTGCCGGTGACATAGAGAAAATGTGGTCCCTCCTATGAAACGGTCTCTTTAGGCTATGAATTGGCTCACAGGAGTCTCACACTCACCTTTAATGTGTGAATTATGTACAAATTATCAAGGTTTTTGTTATTAACAACCAAGTAACGAAGCGCCCCTCTCCTAAATGTTCTCTAAATCCGTCAGCTCTTCCCTAACACCCCCCTTCTAAGTGATCCGTGCTGACCGTTTAGTTGACCCGTGCACACAATATTGTGACGGAACGCGGGCGTTGCAAATTCCGTCAAATAAAACTAATGCTCCAACGTGTCGACCCTCAGTCTGAGTATCATCCGTGTTTAACGGAGTCCCCACGCTCGCTCAACAATGTCTGATATCGGCCTACGTGAGAGTGCACATTCTGTAGGTTCCAGTATGAAGAACAAAGACTTGGCTCTGCATTGATCCAACATGGAGGCTTTGATTTGCACGTACATTCTGCGAAGATTGCGCACTAAAGTTTCAGAGTCTAAGGCCGTGTCCGAAACGGGCTTCCAGAGCTACGGCTACGTCTATTGTCAGCGCGTCCCCGCGTATTTTCAATGGGCGCAGACCTAGACCTAGCTCTAGACAACTGATTCGGATGCAGCCTAAGCTTGAGCTTAACACAGACTATAGCGCCCTCAATTATCACGCACTGAGCGATTACAGGACATCGTCAGCTCAATGATGGAGATGAGCGTTCAGATCAGACTTGATGTCAACGACCTAAGGTCACCTTTCCACATTTGATGAGCAGTGGTTAGTGCAACCATATTACACATTTACCCGCATTCATAAATACCTCAGACAGTTTAGCTATTCCTATTGGTCGAGAGCCCGTCACGTGGCCGGTCTTAAACGGATGATACAGACATGGCTAGCTGGTCTTAAACACTTTTCCAGTGTCACAATAAAATGTGGACTCCTAAAAATCCAGTGCCTCTTACCGTTTCATTGGTTGAACGTTCACAATCCTCACGTAAGCATGCGCAACACTACAAGCGAGTCAGAATTTTATAGTTCTAAATTCAAAACGCAACGCCCCAGGTGCGTTCTGCGTGACATCGCGCAGAACATGTTACGCGCGCGTCAATCTCCATAAAAGGGTTGTTTACATCTTACTCGCCAGCTGAACACTCCATTATTTTTCTAGAGGGATGTTTCAAAAAGCATGAAGTGAACTTGTTGAACAAAATCGGGATTTTTTGAACGAATTATTTGATATTTTTTTACGGATAAGGTATTTATGAATGGGAATAAATATGTGCTCGGTCGGTATTTATCACTCTGTTTAATACCGCTTAGAGTCTGGGTGCTGATAATTACCCTCGCCTCCGGCTCGGGTAATTATCAGCACCCAGACTCTAAGCGGTATTAAACGAGTGATAAAAACCTCCGGAGCACACATTTATTCCCTTATTAATTGACAGTTATTGATTCTGCTCGCTTTAACAGACATTTTATTGAGTTGAACTTTTGGGAAGTAGATCCACCCTTTGCCAAAGCATGATCCATATTCTGTCTTTAAAGCAAGGCTAACTGGCCAGCGGTAACTGGAAGTCATCGATATATTTTATTACTTCATCAGACTATCTAATGGTTCGTTTAAAGAAAACCCGGACTGGCTTTTAATGTATGAGGTGTCATACAATTGAGTATCGAATTGGTAATCCAGTGACTAGTGTTTGCCTTGAACGTAATCTTGTAGTTTATATGGAAGGTTTTCGGTACCCAAAAAGAATGTATTGCTACCCCCCCCCCCCAAGAAATTGGTATTAGGGCCCACGTGGCTTGATTAAAGGTCTATAATTTATTCTGCGACACACCCGCAGAAATACTTTATGTTATGACTTCGTCAGTTTGCAGACAAAAGGGATATATGGTCGTTCGCTTTAGATCAATGTTCGAATGTACCAAAATGGACGTTGTATGTAACAAAATGAACAATGTAACAAAATAGACATTGTAATGAATATGTACTTTTGCAGGTGTTGGTCCCACACGAAGACACATTGTCTGGCGTCATGAATGCACTTTCCCGGAACTCGTTCGTTTAGTTGTTTGTGGTATAGTTGAGGGTGTATCTTTAAACGTCAAAGGGTATCATATCAGGCATATGGTCTACCGGATTATTGAAAAATCTTCCACTGAGAAAGGATGCAATAAACCCGAAGGCTATTTCATTTCTCTGATATGCTGTTGTTCGGAATGAACTCACAGGAAGGAAAGAGGAAATCAAATTAATTATATTGATCTCATAGCACTACCGGTGACATAGAGAAAATGTGGTCCCTCCTATGAAACGGTCTCTTTAGGCTATGAATAGGCTCACAAGAGTCTTACACTCACCTATAATGTGTGAATTATTCATTTTTCGGTGAGCAATTCACATGATTATATGAAGAGTCAAAATTGTACAAATTATCAAGGTTTTTATTAACAACCAAGTAACGAAGCGCCCCTCTCCTAAATGTTCTCTAAATCCGTCAGCTCTTCCCTAACACCCCCCCCCCCTCCCTTCCAAGTGATCCGTGCTGACCGTTCAGTTGACCCGTGCACACAATATTGTGACGGAACGCGGGCGTCGCAAATTCCGTCAAATGAAATGAATGCTCCAACGTGTCGACCCTCAGTCTGAGTATCATCCGTGTTTAACGGAGTCCCCACGCTCGCTCAACAATGTCTGATATCGGCCTACGTGAGAGTGCACATTCTGTAGGTTCCAGTATGAAGAACAAAGACTTGGCTCTGCATTGATCCAACATGGAGGCTTTGATTTGCACGTACATTCTGCGAAGATTGCGCACTAAAGTTTCTGAGTCTAAGCTTGAGCTTAACACAGACTATAGCGCCCTCTGCAGATCATGCACTGAGCGATTACAGGACATCGTCAGCTCAATGATGGAGACGAGCGTTCAGATAAGACTTGATGTCAACGACCTAAGGTCACCTTTCCACATTTGATGAGCAGTGGTTAGTGCAACCATATTGCACATTACCCGCATTAATTGACAGTTATTGATTCTGCTCGCTTTAACAGACATTTTATTGAGTTGAACT